CTTCACTTTGTTCACATCTCTTCTCCAGGGTCACCTTTTTAGAGCGGTCTCTCCCGAGGACCTTATTTAAAGTGTTACCCCATTACATTTTACTCTCTTACTCAGCTTGATCTGTTTGCTTTGTTTCTTTATGGCATGGACCGTTGCCTGCTACCGTATTTCTATTTATTTGTTTATTTGCTCACCCCCCCCCCCATTCAAGATCCACAAAGGTGGACCATTTACATTCCCAGGCCCTGGAACAGTGCCTGACGCATAGAGGGCACCCTTGACCTATCTATTGACTACATGCACAGGCAGCCCTCCAAGCAGGCCCTCGCTCAGCACCTGTCCCACTGTACAGAGTGGGCTGTGTCTGTATGGCTGGCCTGATCTTCATCACTGCCTCCAGATCCAGACTGCCATCTGCTGTGGATCAGGGTGTAGTCAGTTTGTAAATGGACAGAGAGAGGCCCTTGAGGTGGGACTCAACAGCCACAGGTTCTCATCAGCCCTGTTCCTCCTTGCCCTCCGGTATCTTTAGATGCCTTCTCCAAACATAGGTGCTTCTGAGTCCCAGACGGCACGGCTTCCTGTGCTCAGCATCATGTCCGTGTGGTTGGGTTGCTGTGACACATCTTAGGCTTCCCAACCCTAATGCTTTATCTCCTTGAGCCACTGAAGCGCTGGGGAGCCTATCACAGTAGGATTTGCAGATGCAGAGGAAGATTTGAAGGACTAAGTCACTTGTCCTACAACTGACAAGTGGCGGAGGCAGCTAATGAGCGCCTCAGCTCTTAACCTGGGTCCTGTAGTTGCTGGAACCCCTCTGAGATCTGTCAAGGGTGGGGTGAGGGTTTGTTCTATGAATCAAGGGCAGCAGTTGCATGTCTGTACAATCGCTGTAGGTTAGACTTGGTTGAAGAATCTTCCCTCTGGTTTTCTCGGCGCTTTGTGTTTTGCTTTTGTTGTTGGTGAGCAGCCCTTGGACATTTACTGTCTTAGAAAAACCTATTAGGACAGCTGTGATGGAGAGGAAGACCCCAATTGTCAAAAGCTCTTTTCTTGGGCTGCCAAAAAGGAAGAAACTTGGGTGGAGGGGGATATGACTACCATCCTGTGTGAAGTGAAAATTCTAAGCAGGGAGATTCAGTTCTCTGTTTTCATTTAGGTGTTATTTAATATATTCCCCATTCCCCCAAATTTCTAGATGGGTGTTCAGAGGAAATGCTAGTTAGAGAAAAAACAGGGGATGGAGGGGTCGACCTTACTGGTTGGAAATGTTGCAATTTATGCACGGAAGGCCTTTTCTTTCTTCCTCGTCTTTTCAAATTGTTTTGAGGGAGTTTTAGTGCTGGTAAAGGATATCCAAGTAGAGGTAAAAGTTAGAGAGTGAAACAAGGCTTGCTCAGTCTTGCCTTTTTTTTTTTTTTTTTTTTTTTTTTTTTAAGTGAGGGCGGTTTAAGTCTTAGTTTTCAGGTTACTTTGGGACCTGGCTTGAGATCACTAAGGAGCTAGCAGATTCCTAATGGAGTCCTCAGGGCTGACAGACCTGTGCTCCTGACTGCCTGACCCAGTCCTGGTACTTTCTTTTTCCCAGCTCCTGTTGACGTCTTCTCGTCATCTTGCTGTTGGATTGTTATTCCAGCGCTGTACCCCTGCATCTTTACCTTCCCTTGTCATCCCAGTTAGATCGTAAAGTCCTTGTTCAGCCAAGTGCCAAGAGCTCTATAAACGGGAGTTTGGGATCTGCCACTGCTTTGGGGCCAAAAATTTGTTTTTTGATTCTTAGTGTCACCTCTTTTTTGATAGAATGACGATGTTTCGTCTGGTGGGTCAGTTTGAAAATGAGTGTGAAAACTACCTCCTGGTTTTTCCATACCTGTTTCACTTTCTGTCCTTCTCATTGTTGCCAGATTACAGGCATACAGTTTTTGATCTAGAAAATGAGGTTATTGTACACATGTGACAGACATAATTGCTTTTAACCCTTTGTTTGGAGGGTGCTGTAGGAATCCCAGCTCAGTGGAGGGTGGGTATGTCAGGATATACCTAAGGCTTCTGACTCTGTCACCTGCCTGCTTAATTGACAATGAATGAATAGCCTGGATACCAGAACATGCGTATCTTCTCCTTTCACTTAAAATTTATCTTCAGATTTTAAACTGAATGTAGACTGCTCATTAAAGTGGCCCAGGTCACATATATACAACCATTTAGCAGTAACAGTTTGAAGTTTTTCTTGGTTTTCTTTTTCCTGTGCACAGGTTCTTTCCCCTCTTTCTTTCTTTCTTTCCTTTTTTTTAAGATTTTATTTATTTATTTGACAGAGATCACAAGCAGGCAGAGAGGCAGGCAGAGAGAGAGGAAGGGAAGCAGGCTCCCTGCTGAGCAGACCCAATGCAGGGCTGATCCCAGGACCCTGAGTTCGTGACCTGAGCCGAAGGCAGATGCTTTAACCCACTGAGCCACCCAGGCGCTCCCTTCCCCTCTTTCTTTTAAAAAATTATTATAAAAATACATGAATGCATCCTCTTTGTGTTTTAAACAGTGTGGTGGAATACTGAGCGGAACATGGGAGTCCCTCCTCACCATCTGTAGTGTCCCCCAACACACATTGCTTTCCCAGAGGTGATCACTGGCAACATCGGCAAGCACTTTGCCCGTCACCGTCCACCATATGGGCGTGTATGTACACACTTCTAAAGCAAGGGCTCCTGTTTTGTGTGCTACACAATGACCACTTCTTTTTTTTTTTTTTTTAAGATTTATTTATTTGACAGAGATCACAAGTTGGCAAAGAAGCAGGCAGAGAGAGAGGAGGAAGCAGGCTCCCTGCTGAGCAGAGAGCCCAATGCGGGGCTTGGTCACAGGACCCTGGAATCATGACCTGAGCCAAAGGCAGAGGCTTTAACCCACTGAGCCACCCAGGTGTCCTAACACAATGACCACTTCTTTTCACTTATCCATAACACAGTATGTCTTGGGGGAAATCTTTCTATGTCAGGACACATAGGTCCAACTTGTTTTCTTCCCTTTGTTGTGGTTGTTGTTGTTAATGGTTATGTAGCAATTCATTGTATGGGCATACCTGGTATTTAAGTGCCCACCTGTTGATGGACATGAAGTGTTTAGTTTTTGCTCTCACAGTGAAGCAGTCCTGTACAAGCGTGTATCTTTGTGCATGTGTACGAGTGTCTCTGCTGAATAGTTGCCAGGAAGTGGAAATGCTGGCTTAAAGTGAATGCCTATTTTTGGTTTGGTGGATGCTGCCAAATTGTCTTCCCAAAGGAATTCACCAGTTCAAACCCATGCCAGTGGTATATAAGAGTGCTTGTTTTCCTTGTCTTTATAAATACTTCTTATTCTCATTTTTGTCAGTCTGGTTGGTGTAGAGTAGTGTGTGGTTGTTTTTGTTTTAGATTTTATTTTTAAGTAATCGCTGCACCCAATGTGGGGCTCACTCTCACAACCCTGAGATCAAGAGTCACATGCTCCATTGACTGAAATAGCCAGGCGCCCTTAAACAGCTATTTTTTAAAAAAAAAGATTTTATTTATTTATTTTTCAGAGAGAGCACAAGCAAAGCAGCAGGCAGAGAGAGAAGGAGGCTTGCGTCTGAGCAAGGAGCCTGATGCGGGGCTCGATTCCAGGACCCTAAGATCATGACCTGAGCCGAAGGTGGACGCTTAACCAACTGAGCTACCCAGGCGCCCCTGTACAATTATTTTTAATATTTTTTTAAGGAAAAAAATAAGACACTTCCTTTACGTGTTACAGAGTACTTACCTCACACCAACTGCCAACAGTAGAGGCATTCTTATTAAAAGCAAGAACAAAACAACATTGCCCTCTACTACTTAATATTGTTTTAGAAGCTCTGGCCAAGGGGTGCCTGGGTGGCTCACTCAGCTGAGGGTCTAGCTCTTGAGTTCAGCTCAGGTCATGGTCTCAGGGTCATGAGATCCAGCCCTGCATTGGGCTATGTGCTGAGTGTGGAGTCTGCTTAAGATTCTCTCTCTCTCAAAAAAACAAAACAAAACACAGCAGCAGTAGCTCTGGCCAGTGTAGTAAGGTGTGAAACAGAAGTAAGAATTAGGCTTTGAGGATTAAGTTAGATGATACTTCCACTTCTTAGTACAGTATTTCTGATTCAAATAAAGCACTCAAGTTCTAGATCTTGTTATTTTCTTTCTTTCCTTCTTTCTTTCTCCTTTTTTTTTTTTTTTAAGCAATAAGACATTCAGAAAGGAAAGCCTCATTGTCTCTTACATCTTAACACATGTGTCCTGGTGCTTTTATTAATGTGGATTCTTTCGTCTTGGTTCTTGCTGGTTAAATCATCCAGATTATCTGTAGGTCTGTGTTGAAGTCTCTCTTAAGTCTTCAGTTACCAGAACACCACCAGAGGTGGGTGTTCAGTACCTGTGACTTGCTGAATGGTTGGTTCAGTGATATTTTTGATGACCTTTCAGTGAAATGTTGCAACAGTCCTGGGAGTGTTTAGAGGTACGTGTCCCATATTGAGTGAATAATGTAGTTAAAAATAAGAAGGGTACATGGGGCTCCTGGCTGGCTCAGTCAGCATGCAACCCTTGCTCTTGGGGTTGTGGGTTCGAACCCCACATTGGGGATAGAGCTTACTTTAAAAAAACATGAAAGAAAATGTAATACTTCACTGGCTTATTGTAGAGCAGAATTCAAACATATGCCTAAAGAGAAAATGGATTCAACTTAAAAATTTTTAAAAAAAGAAAAAGACGACAAGGGTACAGAAGAGCAAGCTTTTAAATGCTTACACGGTTATCTGGACACCTGACCCCCTGCTGAGCAGGGGACCCCCTGATGCCTGCCTATCGTGGGGGTCATGCATTTCCCTAGTAAAGAGCTGCTGTCCTTTCTCAGGAGTCATGTGGATATAACTAGTTTGGTTCATCACCACTGAGAACTCTTTTCTAAGCAGTTAGCTGGCTCTGAATTTGGTTTGAGACTTCAGTCTTCTTTTTTCTTTCCCCCCATAGCATCTGGAGAGGGCCCAATGTGAACTGTGTTGACAGCACCGGGTATACACCGCTGCACCATGCTGCTTTGAATGGCCATAAGTAAGTATCCATGTGCTGTATTCCTGCCCTACCCTCCAGAACCCAGGCCTTTGGATCGTCTTTTTTGATTTCCATAAAGAATTACTAAGCAGTAATGTTGAGGAACAGGGAAGAACAAAGGAAATTCAGTCCATCCAAAGTTCCCAAGTCTCTCATTAGGGTATAATTTAAGCACCCTTCCCTACTCCTCCGCCTATAAACCTTCAACCAAAGGATAAGTTATATCTTTTCTTCTGTTTGTCCTTTTCTTCTTTGAAACGGCACAATGCCATGCAGTGATCTGCTTGTGAAGGTCACGTTTGGGGCAGCCAGATATAAAGGGGCTGGATAATCTCTTAGGTAACCAGCACCTTTGTAACCTGAAGATAGACTGAGTGGTCATAAGAAACTTCCCTTCTCTTAAAGTACTTATTTATTTACTCTATTGGCTTGCCACTCTTCCCCATATAATTAGCCTGGTAGACAACAAGAACCTTTTTTCAGGGGAAAAATACATCATCATATGGCCTATTTTTTTTTTTTTTAAGATTTTATTTCTTTGTTTGACAGAGAAAGAGAGGTAGCGAGCTCAGGAACACAAGCATGGGGTGTGGGAGAGGGGAAGCAGGCTTCCACCCAAGCAGGGAGCCTGATGCGGGGCTCGATTCCAGGACCTTGGGATCATGACCTGAGCCGAAGGCAGATGTTTAACCATCTGAGCCACCCAGGTGCCCCTGTACAACCTATTTAATTCTCTTTAGGTATTGGTTAGTAGTTGCTGGGTGGGATTTGCATGGAAGGTTTTCTGGAGAGGCTGTGCTTTGGGGGGAGTGGGAGAGAAGATGACATAGGTTTAAATGGTTTGGCAGCCTTTTCCAGGGGGCACTACCCTCCATGTGAGAGAGAATGTGATGGCCCAGCCCAGGGGCAGGCAGAGCCAGGGAGTGCAGTGAGTGGATTTGCCAGGATGTGGAAGAATGGAACCCAGAGTGTAGCAGCACAGAGCGTGGTAAGGGGAACTTGAGGCATCATGCTCTAAGAGATAAGAGTAGAAGTTTAGTTTTCAGAAGGTGGGATTATCGGAACCATTTTGGATTTTGCTGAGCAAGGAGCAGGGCCTTCCGCCCCCGGTGGTATTCTGTATCACCTGTATAGTGCTTAGCCCAGCCTGATGGACTCTGATGTGCCTGAAAGAGGTGGTGGTTGTTTCCTTCTACATTAAACTTCTCTGAAATATATTGAATATGATCCTTGTGTCTTTTCTATGGCCATCTTAGACAAAGCTAACAAGGACTCTGTGGAGACCCCTCCCCCCATAACTGGGGGGGGTGACCTGAATTAAAGTAAATCTTATACTTAAATGACTTTAGCTTGTTAGCCAAGTTTATCTCCAGATGCTGTTTTTATTTACAGTGGGGATTTTCTCTGACCTCATGTGCATGGGGATAATTATACATTTGTATCTGCTTAATTAGTAGTGTCACCAAGGAGAAAGCCAAGCCCTTCTTTCTGAATGTATCAAATGATACCATATGTGTCTGGCTTATGTTTGCAGCAACTTTAATTCTGCTCTGCCTGTCTGCTTTTAGCTCCCACATCACTAAATGCTCTGAAGAATGTGGTGAATAACGATATTTGTCTTGCATGACTACTTTCATGTAAATTTTATCCCCAAATGCTGTTTAAACATCACAAACAAGGTAACATTGTAAGGTTTAGACAAGGGAACCAGACATTTTCAAAATAATGGAATAGAGATGGATTGTCTAGAAAGCCCAGAGAATGGCAAGGTGATGAGTCAGTGTCATTTGGCTCAAGATGTTTCAGCCGCCTATCAGCAGCTATACACGTAGCTCATGGAATAAAAGGAAGAGACTGGGCAATGAGCTCAGGTAGAGAGAGGGGGGCCGAGTGAGATAATATCTGAAAGGGATTCAGCTGCCCAGATGTGAAGAGCTGTAAGTAGGAAAGCCTTCTGAGTTCTGCAAACTCATGATTGATTTTTGCCTTCTAGGGATGTGGTTGAGGTTCTTCTGAGGAACGATGCGTTGACCAATGTGGCTGATTCCAAAGGCTGTTACCCTCTGCACTTGGCAGCCTGGAAAGGAGATGCCCAGATAGTGCGGTTGCTCATCCATCAAGGGCCCTCACACACCAGAGTCAACGAACAGGTCGGAAGGAAGAGAAGCGTTCTTCCCTTCAGCTATAGCCAGACCGTGGCGGCCCTGGCGCTGTTTCAGTTCCACAGCGCAGATCGCAGGGAACTAGCTCTTCCAGGCCCTACAAATGGTTCCCCTCCTCCGAGCACTACTCCTCTGAGGGCATCAGGGAGATCTTGTACCCCAAGGAAGCATTTTACATGCATCTGAATCGTGCAGATTTGGAGTAGTGCTATCATAAAGATCTACATACCTCGTGTGCAAAATGGGAAATAACATAAATCCCGTAAAATTGTTTAGAGGCTATTTCATAGCGGCAGGCTTAATTAATTACAAGCAGTGCTTATGCCACCGGCATGGCGGTACGGCCTTAGCCGATAAGCGGTGGTCCTCCCCGTGCGGCGCGCATCAGTGCTGCGTCAACCCTGCTGCTGTTTTCCCTCCATCGCAGCTGGCAGAAGTGGAAGGATTCGTCCCGGGACTGATAAAGGAGCTCATAAAAACATCTGAGTAAGCTCAGAGGCCAGAGGTGATGGAGCAGAATGAAAATCATTTATATGCTCTCCCCTAAGGTCAACTTAAGAGTGACCCTGTTTTGATAAAGCAGAGATAATTCTTAGAAAATAAAAAAAGGCAGCAGTTGAGCAAAAATACCTTCAAATGGCCATGGATTTATGTTCTCTGATACCATACCTCCACTTTTTTCACCTTGATTCCTTTGGAAAAGTTATGCTTGCATTATGCAGGTTCTAGACAGCCCTCTCATAAAATGCAGTTTCCTGTAGTTTGAGTCTGAGATCATGTATCCATTTGAGAGGAGACGGGTTTTCCCTGTGTGACAGACCACTCTGTTTTCCTCTCTGCTCTGAACTGAAGCAGGTGCTTTTCTTAGTTGCTTGAATGAGAGAGATGCTGCTCTTTCTCAGTAAGCCCAGGACTATTTTCCTAATGACTTTACTGAGAGGAAAGTGTTAAATTACTTGTAGGATTAGGCCAGGGTTATTCCTCCAAAAATAGGAAATCATTCTCGTGAGCCCATCTATCAGCAGGGCTCTGCACACTCTCAGTGAGCAGTTAGGACTAAGACTGACTCAGAGAAGGGCAGCTTCACCCTGAGGTTGGAGAAAATTAAAACAATGCTCCCAAATCTCTCAAATTGGAGATTGCGTGTGTATAGCTGGTAATCAGCTTCCCTTTCGCTTCTCAAGCTGTATTTTCTGGATAGGTAAGCCACAGAAATTTAAGATCATCCATGAGGATGTTTGTGTCATAACATTAAGAATGAAAATCGTCTCTAGAATTGCTGCTTTAGAATCTAAATGCAATTTTACTCCTCCTGGCTAAAGTGATTGTAATTTCTCTTAACTGGAGGAAATTTATCAGGAAGTTTGCTTTTAACTCCTATTCCTCTGTGTTGAACCAACTAGTCACCCATTAAAGTCCTTCTCATTTAAGAAATTTTCGGCGACCATTTCTAATCCTGTCTTTGCTCACTTTTGCCTTGAAACACAGCTGCTTGGATTTTTGGGCCACCTGAGTGTGCTAGCTTGTCCTGCTCACCGCCACCTCCTGCCTGGAGTATCCCTTGATAGGGACACCAGCCCAGTGTTCTGAGTATCTGGCAGGCAGCTGGGTGGGGCAGGGGCTGGGCAAGACTTCTGCAGGAGATGGAAGAACCTAATGGCTCTAGGTAGTAGTACCACATGGATCTATTTAAAAACCGTTAATGTGGTTCTAGTTGGATGGTTGGATAAGAGGGGGTGATGAGTGCTGTGCCCTCGAGCCTGCCTCCCCATTAACTTCCTTTCCAGGCTCCCAGAGGGCAGATCCACGTTGTTCTCATGTTGGACCCCCTTGGGGCTGGGCATTGCTTTGATATTTTTCATCCATTTTATCATCACATTTTCTTTTCCTCTCCTTTTTATAGAATGCTCTTGAGATCAAAGAATTCAAAAAGTACGGCCCCTTTGACCCTTATATCAATGCCAAGGTGTGTACGTTGCTGCCAGGATTTCTCTGCATCATTTCTCCAAGCTGCACTCCCTCTTTGGTCCTCTCTGGCTTCCACTCTCATCCACTCAGGCTCCTCATCTTCACCCTGACTATTGTCTGCTTCAGCCCATCTGCTTTTGGCTTGTCTGGGAATGGGATATTGCAGCTTCAGTGAGTTTGGGTTTTATTTTTAAAACCCATGCTAATTCTGGAAAGGTTGGGTGCTTTTCCCGGAATGTCTGAAAAGCTTAGAAATGGCCGAAATGGGGAAAGAGAAGGAACCATATTATATGCATAATTTACCATTGTGATTGCTAAAAATCATTTAAATTTGAAAAAGAAAAATTCAATTAAGAGATGTCAAACATATTAGCTTACTTTTTAATCAGCACAGAAAATGATTAAATTACACTAACTGGATTTAAAGATCTTTTTTACACTGCTTCTCTATTTCTTTTGAAGTGGAACTTCATTTTCAATAAGCTATTAGTGGAGGTGGTGGGGAAGGGGTATGATGACTCCATTTTACTCTTAAAAGCTGTCCCTTTGGGCTCATTCCTGATTTCCTTGAGTTCGTGCATTTCTTCCTGGGACTTTAAAGCCTCAGTTGCTCCTCCCCAGCTCTCAGCTTCTCTCACTGCTTGGTCACTCTGCCCCTGGGAGGGGGTCTGAAATAGGAAATGAAGTCGCAGGGTCAAGCAGGACACTGGCCTCCAGCCTTCCTCCCTGTGAGGCGGGGCGGGGGGGGGGGCAGGTTAGGCATGGTGATGAACGGCGCAGAGTCCCACCCTCCCCTCTCCCCGGCCTTCACCACACCAGGAGGCAGAGCTGTGGGTGCTGGTTAGCCTTTCTCCTTGGTGCTCTCACCTGCTGGTTTTGACCTGAGTTTCCACTCGGGTGAGGTTTGCTTTTGGCACCAGTCTGGAGTTTGGTTGAGTCAGTGCAGTTAGTCACATTAGCTACCTTTCCCTTGCTCGGAACACAGTAGCCTCAGGGAAGGGAAACATAAGGTGCTTCTACATGTTTCCAGATGCAAGGCAGATATTCTTTGAGAAATGCTGATTTAGTGAGTGAAGCTCCATGTGGGCCGTGCTCTTCAGCTGTTGGGACTTGATGGCGGAGAAGCAGTTCGATTTGGGGTAGTGGAATGCATTAGCTTTTGCTTGGCCCTCTCTCTGTAAATTCTGTTCTCTAATTTTCAAAAGAGGAAGATACCGTATCTTCATTTTCTTTCTTTCTTTCTTTTTTTTTTTTAAACTTGTTGTAGTAGTGGAGAAAACTCTTATTAAAGGTCACAGCCTTTCAAGTCAAGCCTGAGTTTGAATTCTGTGCTGCCACTGACTGGTTTTGTTGACTTAAATAAGTTACTTAAGTTCTGTGAGCCTCGGTTTCCTCTTCTGTAAAGTGCAGTGTACCATTTGGAGTTTAAGTAAGTGAATGCACATTAAGTACAACTATCTGATAACTAGTAGTATTTGAGATCTGACTTCTGAAGGGCATATACAGTCTGCTCTTTCTAAAGCGGTACTTTGGAATTTGTTCTTTGTTACCGATGGATTGAAGCTTAATGAAACATTGCTCAATTAGTCTGGTCAGGGTTTTGTTTTGTGGGGAGGTGCCTTGAAGTGATTGTTTTCGCACTCGGTAGTTAGTTTAGTTAGCTTATAAAGCTCTGATTAAAGGGTAAGTCTTTGGTTCTTTAAAGCACATTTTCTTATCCCTTGATTTCCCACACAAAAAAGAAAATTGGTCTAAATGGCATAAGAACATATTTCTCTTTTTGGAAACACTGCCCTTAGCCTCCCCCCGCCGCCCCACGAAAGGCTAAATGATGCAAATTGCACTAAGGGCTAAAGCTGTTTGGATTTTGCTATGAATGCAAACTCTCTGAGCTGGTTCGAATCGAACCTCGCTGGGTTTTATCCTGATTCAGTGGGTTTTTATTGACCTGGATTGTGTCTGGGAATTGTTTTGTGTGCTGAGTCCTGTCAGGCACCTGTAGAAATTAAGAAGTCTCAGGTGCGGGGCGCCTGGGTGGCACAGTGGGTTAAAGCCTGTGCCTTCGGCTCAGGTCATGATCCCAGGGTCCTGGGATCGAGCCCCAAGTCGGGCTCTCTGCTCAGTGGGCAGCCTACTTGCCCTTCTCTCTCCCTGCCTCCCTCTCCATCTACTTGTGATCTCTGTAAAAAAAAAAAAAAAAGTCTCCGGTGCCCGTTCTGGGAGCAGGGATGGTTTTCATCTTCCTCTTCGACATATGGAGCCTTTCTTTTTTCAACAAGTCAGCATACACCAGTCTCAAATGTAGGTTATCTGTAGCTATGGTGGAACTATTAAAATCGTTTATTTTCTCCCTTTTAAAATAATTTTAAATTAGTCTGAATATTGTAAGGTGAGCAATGGTCAAATTAGTTTTAGGGTATATCTCTTTCCCTGTCCACTTAAAAATAATTAAGTTTCAGAGCTGGAAGAGGCCGGAAGTTGTCTCAACCAGCTGTCTCCACATTCTGATCAGCTTGACTGGTTGCATCTGAATCACCCAGCAAGCTTTTGTAAAACTTTATCTTGACACAATTTTTAGCGTATAAAAAGTTGCAAGCATAATGCAGTGAACTGCATTGCACTCTTCATCTAGATTGACCAGTTGTTAGCATTTTGTCTCATTTGCATGCACATTTTCTCTCTCTCTCTCTCTCAAATGTATAGATATATTGTTGCTTAATTGATGATGAACTGTTTGATACGTAGTCATGGAGATCATGACCCTTTGACCCCAAATACTTTGGCATGTATCTCCTAAAAACAAGGGCATTCACTTGTACAACCATAGTACAGTTATCAAATTTAAGAAATTCAACATTGATACAATACTGGAATCTAATACAGAATCTGTGTTCAGATTTTACCCATTTCCCCAATAATATTCTTTATTGCAATTTTTTTCCTGGTCCAGTCCAGGATCACACATAATTTGGAACACTTCCTCAGCCCTTAGTCTTTTATGACTAGGAACCACGAACATGACATCCCTGGGTGGGACCGAACCACCAACCAACCATTCAGCGAACAGCTGAATCCACTAAGCGATTGCCACAGAGACCTGCAGCATTGATGGTATTGAAGAATACAAACCAGTCATTTTGTAGACTATCACTCAGTTTAAGTTTGTCTGATATTTCCACATATTTCCTGTTATTTCCTGAATCTGATCAATTCAGGCCCTACAATTTTAGCAGGAACGCTGCAGGAGTGATGTTATATTTCGTTCCTTCACGTTATGAGGCACGTGATGTCAGTTTGTCTCACTGTTAGATGAATGCTTGGTCAAGGTGGTTTGGGCTAGGTTGTTAAGCTTTTTAATAATAGTCTTCCTGGGCTTTACTTCTGAGGTGCTACCTTGGCAGGTCTGGGGTGGGACTCAGTTACTTTTAAGCTCCCTTATAATTCCAAAACGAAGCCAGTTTGAGAACCACTGATCTAGGCCAAGTTTGCATCCAGAGCAGGAATCCTTTTCTCTCACATGAAAGGTGAGCTGTCTGCCCTTTGCTTTATTTGGTTGTTTGTTTCTCTTGGTAACAACCAGGCTTCCTACTTGGCAGCCTCTTTTTGGATTCCACTGATTTTTGGTTTCTTACGCTTGGCTGATAGCTGTCTTCCTAAACTTTCCATCTTTTGATCAGGTTTCTGCCTTCCAGAGCATTTACAGAGTAAGTCTCGCTCTTCTTCTACATGGACCCAATTCTCATGTTTCTGCCATGTCTGCTAAATCTCAGGAGGTTCCAGTCTGTCCTTTTGTTCCAATTTTGGTAGGTTTCTGAAGCCTACACCATTGTTGCTACAGAGAGCTGTAGCTCAGTTGTTTCCAACTTTGGTGTCTATCAACAGTGGTCAAGAGTACAGTTGGGCTGCAGTCTAAGCACTGGGAAGTGTTGGCTTAGAATAGTTTCAAGAGGAGAAGAGCCACCAGAATGTTTCTGTATAGTTTTCTGTTGCTTGTAGTTTATGTGTATGTGAGATAGGTAGATAGGCATAAACATGTAGATAATATTACATAATATGTAATATTACATAATATGTAAATCGAATGGATTTACATATTAAATGGGGTCTCCATACTTAAAGAGTATTGGGGTCTTTTTTCTTAGAGGTACTGATTGTAGCAAGGAGAAATGGAAGTGAGTCTCAAGACAGGCAAGAATGGAGAGTGTGCAAAGACTTTGGAGGAAGTCTTCATCCTCAGTACAAATACATAGCAATATGATTTGGGAACTCTTGAGGTGTGAGGAGCACCTGTAGTAGGATTTGGAAGATGTGAAAGAGAAGGATTCTAAGTCCTGAGGAGTCGGTACTCTCCTTGGAATCCCTCCCTTTCTTGTGGATCCCTGAATCAACACTAATGACTTCCTGCCCTGGTAGTTGTCATGTCCAAAGGGGAGCTGGTAGGAAGAGCTCATTGTGATGGCCTGTGTTCAATAGTCGAGAGATGGAGTCACCGCAGACTTCAACTTAGGAATATTATATTTATCAGACCATGTCTGGCAAGACTGAACCATGAGAAAGAGACTTTCTACACTGTTAATTTGAATATAACATTCTGCAGAGACGTGGTTAGGCCGTTTTTAACAGAGGCAGGAAATTTACCTGGTAGTGATCAAGACCGTGCTTTCAGTAAGGCAGCTTTGTGGTAGCTGCCTTAGTTCTAGCAAACAACAACAACAAACCAAGATTTTTCTTTTTTTTCCTCCTGCTGGCTAGCTTAGAGTTTTACAGTTCTTCGGACCTTAATGGCATACTTTTTACAAAATCGAGGACAGATTATTCTGGTTGTTGGGAGACAGCTTGGATAGAAAAGAGACAGCAGTGTCTGCCTCAGAGTGAACAAGTTTTTCTGTACTGGGCTTTTAATGAGAATAAGCTGACTTTCTCTGCCCTGCTAATTGAGATGTAAAACCCTGAGAATCCTCTTAAAATTTCTTTGGGTTGCCACTCTGCCCTCGAACCACTGTAAAGCAAGCCCCTGTGTGTTTTGTTGATGAAGCTGTCTCTCATGGCAAAAACATGAAGCGACAGCTTTTGAGTTGGCTTATTCGGGAATGGGCATTCCAAATGGGTATCTTACGTGGTTGGTTTGGCACAGGGAACCCCAAAGATTTGCTTTCTGCCCAGAGTTTCCCCTTCCCTCCAACCTTTTAGGTTGACATAGAATGCACTCCTTGGGCCCAGTTGTATCACAGGAGGCCATTGCTAATGGGCTCTGTCCCGTGGCCAGCGAAGGCTGTCTGCACTTCAGCTGCTGATCTCCTTGGGCTGTGTTTGAGCTCAGTGCTGCTTCCTCTGTTTATCTGTGTGCATTTATCTTCGCATGTGGCTCCTGCTACCGCCCTTTCTGTCCTTATTTCATCAAAAAAATTTTTTTTGCTATCACTCTGGCCTTTGGGGGCCTCACTCCCAGCAGCTCTAGATCTTTGTGGTGCACTTGGTGTAGCTGGAAAAAATGATGCAGTCAAATGCCAGATCAAAAGCAGATGGAATTGCATGCATGTTTGGGTACTCCTGGTCTGTTACTTTTAACGTAATTAATAGAATTAAAGCGATTGTGGAAACATTTCACTTCTTACCTTTTGGTCACTGAGAGGTGCACAATATTGACCTGATGGACATACCACCTCATCAGCTTGGTTTCCCTAAAGTGGCAGAAGCCTCCTGGATCAATTTAGGAATCTCAAAATCTGATGGGAGAATTATTTTCATTAGTGCGTCTAAAAAAGGAGAGGTCATGGAAATTACTTTATTCCTGCTCTGATTATACATTGTCAGTAGTAGTTTAAAAAAAAAAAAAAAGAAGAAGAAGCACAACTGGAATGATTAGCATTTTGCTTCTGATGGTGGATGGAGCACAAACTTCTATTTCGTCCCAGGTTCTGTCTTTAGTTTGAAACACAATTGGTATTCAAGGACCCTGGGATTGTGAATCTGAACTGATGGTTGTATTACAACTTTGAATATTTTGCACCTCTCACAAAACATTCCTGTGTCTCATTGAGCCTTTGGGACACAGGCAACACTTCCCCGTGTGGCAGCTTGCGCATGCATTGATTGGTGCAGGCTCCTAGGGTAGGCACAGGGTGACATCAGGGTCCCAGGCTCCTCTGTGACTGAGCTCAGGCACTGCCCTCCCCAGGAAATGGCTGTTGGCTGAGATCTCCGAGAGTAACTTTTGGTGCTCTGCTCTTTTACTTTGATTGTTGGCTGGTTGATTTGCATGCAAGAAGCTGTGCAGATAATAAACTCTTTCAAAAAAAGCTTGTCTGTAAGGCAGTGGATGGTCAAGAAAACCAGAATCAGAAACTCCAGGGTTGATGGAACATAAATTGTAAAACCAGTTGAAATTTAAAATGAGTCAATGGCAGTGATATCATCAGCATTCATGTGTGTGGGGGCCTCTGCCCGGGGCCCGCCCCACGTTCCCCCATTCACTCTCCTTGCAGCCCGCGGACACTTCCTTCATGGCACACAGGAGATGGTAAATCTGAGGGGCACCACAGCCCCCGTTCTGGCAGTAACTGGGGCACACGGTGGCTGATCGGAGTAGCCGGCCTCATTTGTTGTCTTCATTCTGACCGGCTTCTAGTAGTCCCCAAATATTGCTGCTATTCTCTCGTTTAAATTTCAGCGGTTTTCCGGGTGTGCGTCCCAGTCATAGGCCAGTCTGCCAGGTGCCCTTCTGACAGGATCTGCTTGTCAATCCTTTAGAACAACGACAACGAGACAGCCCTGCACTGTGCCGCGCAGTACGGCCACACGGAGGTGGTGAAGGTCCTCTTAGAGGAGCTGACAGACCCCACCATGCGCAACAACAAATTCGAGACGCCCCTGGACCTGGCTGCTCTGTACGGGAGACTGGAGGTGGTGAAGATGCTCCTCAACGCGCACCCCAACCTCCTGGGCTGCAACACTAGGAAGCACACGCCCTTGCACTTGGCGGCGCGGAATGGCCACAGAGCTGTGGTGCAGGTCCTGCTGGATGCCGGCATGGACAGCAACTACCAGGTAGCCGGGCAGTCGCTTCCCCCACCCCCCGGGCTCCAGGGGCCACATCGTGGTGGGAGAGGCGCAAGGACCATGCTGCTGGGCTGTGTTCTTATTTAGCACGTTTCACATCCCGTCTCAGATGCTTCCATCCGTTGACTCATTTTCATGTGAAACTTCAGAGACAAACTCCTCAAGTGAGTCTGTTACTGATTTGTTGTTGTTTTTTTTTTTTCCTTTTCAGGGGTAATATATAGTCATTATGCCCTGAAAAGATGTGCTTGTGGACTCTCTCAAAATTAGAAAAATTTCATTATCTTCCTATACGGGCGTTCCCACTGCCGCTCTTTGCCACCTGCAAAGTCCCATCGATTTGATCTTGCCAACAAGAGACTTAGCGTTTCCCCGCGTAGTTAGCTTTGTCCATTCTGATGAATGACTATTCCTTAGCTTTTGCATCGACCAAAGCACCAAACCACACGTGAAGTTAAGATGTTGGTTGTTTCCCACCCACCCCCAACTCTCCTACTTTTCTTCTGATTTTTCCTCCCCCGACCTCTTCCCCCTACCGGGAAGGGCTGGAGCCTAAGGAGCTTCACCAGTAGGTGGCTCCCGGGGTTGCTATACAGTAATTCCTGTGTGGCCTGATGGTGGCACTTCAAACACACTTCACTTCCAGGCCACGATTGTGGTTCCAGAATCCAGACCAGAAAAGTGGGAAAGATAATGACAGAGGACTTTGTGCGGTTGATTTTACACTCCTTCCCGTTGTCTGTATTCCATTTGTCGTGTGGAGCCACGCCAAACCTGGGTCACTGTTCTGATGACATGCTGCTCTGCGCTCTCGTTTGCCTTCCAGACGGAGAAGGGCAGTGCTTTGCATGAGGCTGCTCTGTTTGGCAAGACTGATGTGGTGCAAATCCTGCTGGCTGCAGGTGAGAGGTCGGCCGCGCTCTCGTTTACACGGCATGCCGGGGTAGGCTTGTTCTCCCTAGCCTCCCCAGAGGGGGATTGTTGCTGGCTGCCCTTGAACCCAATGTATGTATGTCTCCATGGATTGACCACAAGTGTACGAATTGTTCTGAAAGAGCTGTATTAAATGGCTTTGGATGAAAAATGTTGGTCGTGCTACTGGGGGCATTAGGAGTCCGGGAATTTGACCCTCTTTGAGGCTGACTTGCAACTGCTCATTCCCCCCCTGGTCCACCTGGTGTGCTTTTCTAGGAATTGATGTCAACATAAAAGATAACCGTGGCCTGACTGCCCTAGACACTGTCCGGGAACTGCCTTCTCAAAAGAGCCAGCAGATAGCGGCACTTATTGAAGGTACCCGTTCATCGCCTGTTGGGGCGACCTGGGGACACACTGGCCGAACCAAGGCATTTGCATTTGGTGCAGCTCTTTTTTGTCTTTCCATGTAGATCACATGACTGGAAAAAGAGGTGCGAAAGAGGCCGAGAGAACCCCCACGTCCCAGGGACCTCTCATCTCCAGTATGGACTCCGTATCCCAGGAGTCTCAGGGTAAGGTGGCCTTTCTGCGCCAGTCAAGGAGCTCTCAGCTTGAAGAGATGAATGGTCTTTGGTAGAAGAGAAAAAGCTTAATTTAAATAATAACTTCAGGGGATTGGGAGTGCTTAATAAGTTCATATTCACATTTATTGTTTCCTAGCTAGTATCTGAACTTTTATTGGACAGAGCTTAGGCCTTTGACTTCGGACCTCTTCTTTCCTATTTTATCTTATTCTCACTTTTATAGTTGGCTCTGTGAGGTCTGTTCGGGGATGTGTTGTAGGTGGGATGATCTCAAGGTAAATTCAGATCTTGAGCAAAGTTTTCCTAACACACACTACCCTGCTGTGGGCATAGCTGGCCCTCAGTAAATACTGAGCGAGTACCACCTAGTTGGTAGACGTGTAGATGGCAGATTTTGGTTCTGTATCACTTGGCCAACAGATGTGGTCTGGGCACCAGCTTGGGCAGTCCAGCCTCCCCATCATTAGCCACAATCTACCCTTTCAGATTTATTGAGCAGCCTTCTGGGTCCTAGGTATGATGAATGAGACAGACAGAATACTGATGGACACCTTCCCTCCAATACAAAGCATAGTAAAGAAGGCCAGAGGAATAGCACAACGCACCAGTCCTGAAACGGGAAAGGGATTTTTCAGAGGGGTGCAGACGTATAAGGTTAAGGGGTGCTCGACCTATCTTCACTGTGGAGTCCTTGTCTGCCCCCACCTCCGCCGCCCCTGCTTTTTTTGTTTACCTCATAATCCACTGGTGATGGGCTTAGTAGTTCACTAAACTCTTAGCTTTCAAGGATTTTACAGTAACGGTTTTGACTGTTTGCCAGAGACCCAGAGATCTCTGGTCCACAACAGTCTGTAACTTTTCAGCGTCCCATGTTTGAGTCCCAGGTAGTCTGATGTTCGTGTTCTCTGGTGAGTTTAACCTTGCACAGCGCCTCCGCATCAGAAAGACTTCACCATCCTCTCTTTTGCTTGAGCACATGGAGGTTTCTTCTAAGAATTTGAAACGATTACTTAAGTTTCCAGTTATACTTTGCCACATTTTATGGTTTAAGTTTATGCTATGGCGGTGTTGAGGTTTTGGGAATTTTTAAGGTCTTGGGAGGGAGGTATCCCTCATAGATGTCAAGGGTTTGCTATATTGAATTAGAGAAAAATCTCTTTGAGTCTCAGGGTATAAAGAGCAACTGAAACTCTGTATTTATTCCTATCCATGGAGCAAAGCAGTTGTTTTATTTTCCTGCTCTCAGTTACGGTTTGTCAAGTTCAGGTTGACAAGGGGCTTGAGGTGGTTGGAAGGGGGTTGGGTAGTGGTTGGAAATCTGAGATTATGCTCTCCATCCATTGACTCTTGCTCTCTAACCTGCTCAGGTGATGTGGAGAAAGCAGTGACTGAACTGATCATTGATTTTGACATAAACGCTGAAGAGGAGGGTCCCTACGAGGCGCTGTATAACGCTGTCTCCTGCCATTCGTTGGACAGCATGGCCAGTGGCCGATCATCTGACCGAGACTCCATGAACAAGGAGGCCGAGGCAGCAGGAGTGAAGACTACTGGAGTGAGGCCTGTATGTGGCCTAGGGCCCTCGACAGACAAACGGGGGCTGTGTTGTCAGCCTGTGTTTTGGTGGAGCGCCGGGAGAGGAAGTATGCGCCAAGTGCCTGCTAGCTTTCCAGAGGCCTGCATCCTACTCCCCTTGTTCTCCTAGGCCTCTCCCACATCTCTCTTGCTTTTTGTGGTTAATCTAAATAGATCCCCTTGAGGTAGAATTTTGGCTTTTCTGATTTCAATATAACATGTCTGCGTTGTTCTGTTAGTTTTTGGTATTAGAGCAAATTGAAGCATTTTTTCCATTTAGCCTTGTGCGGCTTCTGTCTTTGGGGTCTTAGCTGTATGTTGATAGTTTTCTCTCCTGAGAGCAGTTCCACAGTGGAAGAGCTCACTGAAGCAAGTTCTCGTCTCCCCTGAGTGCATCCTCACCTTCCATTTGCCCTCAGAATGGTATCCATTTGGATCTGGACGGATTCTGCATTAAGCAGGGTTGTAGCAGGACTTAATTGGATATCGCATGTGTTAGTATGTGGCATTCCTGTTTTTCCCAGTTATAATCTCTCTAGCCATTTCTTTCTCAAGGTCCACCTTCCCATCTGACTGCTCCTTTCTCCAGTGCTTGCTTCTGCCTCCAGTCTTGTCCATTGTTCTCAAGAGGTTTTACTCCCTTTTTCTCCCTTAGGGTTTTACTCTGAGCCCAAGCCTGAATCACTGTTCCCCTGACCGACCTTCCTACATAGCCAGTACAATAATCTGAGGTTTTGAGCACCGCATTTTTATTGAACCTGCCACTGCTCTTAGTCCCAGTGATCCCAGCTTGAGGCAGATTTCCAGGTGTATATTATTCCTTCCTGTAGTAGAGGCCAGCCTTATCCCTTTTGGTCTGAATCTGCCTTATGACCATTCAGATGAACCTTTGGCCACTGGGTGATCCTTGGGTTTTTCAGATGTGCCCTGGGAATGGCTTGGTGTTTCTTAGTGTTCTTTTTTATTAGGCTTAGTACTGTTTTTTGTTTGCCTGGTCCTAGAACAGTGCCAGCATTTCTGTATGAATTTCGGAAAGGCCCACCTGTCTTGTGGTAGCCCACTGGAGTGGGTATTCTCAAGGACCGGTAAGACTCCTTATGAGTGGTGGAAGCACGTGCTTCTGTGGACAGAAGTGATTTCCTGTGCTTCCGCCTTAGGTGCAGTGAAGCAAGCAAGCCGGCCTGTGGAGGAAGGCATCGTTTTTTGTGGTACTTACAGGTGATGTCCATTAGAGGGAGCCGGAGGCCTTACCAGAGGAACACATGGTTCCTGAAGCTAGCTCTGAATTACCAAGTTCCCGTGGGCTTCGCCACTGATTTATAGTCTCTTTGTTCTGTCCCACTCCAAGAATCTGTCCTCCGGTGGACTTGCTAAGTAAAAACTGATGCATCTTGGGATGCGTGCTTTGCCATTCTTACTTGAATATGTGGTGGCTGTACTACCTGCCTGGCTCTTGGTAATGAACCTTGGCCAGGGGACTGTTTGTTCTACACCTTACAAATGCCGTGGATGGTGAGCCTAACTCAGCTCAGCCCTTGCAGGCCCCTGGGCCAGCGTTCTCACGTTCAGGAAAAAAGAGGCTCCTGCTTCTCTTTCTTTCCAGTGTCTCTGGTGATCACTTCTTGCACAAGAGGTGTTCATCTTGTTCTTTCTAGGCTCCTTTAGTCTTGAGAAGGCTTCTGGGATGGGTCCTTTTTGTCGTTGTTGTGTTTCATTTTGTTTTTCCCTGGCTGTTTTTGTCCCAGGGTTGGATAGCTGGTGTAGATGACAGGCCTGCTGCCTTTGCTAGTCCCTTCCATACATGGTGCCCCTTGGAAGGAACCAAGCTTGTTTCTGCCCTGCTGTAGGAAGACCGGCTAGGGAAAGTGGAACTCACTGGGAAATGTGATCTCATAGCCTTGTTTGGCTTGAAAAGACGGATCTGTTTTAAGGTTGTTGCCATTAGGCATCCATTGGGTTCCGGGGAGTGTAGGAATGACTGATTTATCAAGATAGAATCTGGAGGGGCGAAGTGTATTTGAACAGAGGGAGGTCATGGATGCCGAATGCTAACCGAATGCTACCTAACGCTGGCTGCTCCTGCTGCTCCTGGGACATGGATTTGTCTTCCAGACTTTTCCAAGGCTCTTGCATAATTCGACATGTTCCTCTACCCTTTCATAAATATTCTTGTCCTAGCAACACAGTGAACTAACCTACAAGGCTGGGAATGAGCCTGCAAGCCAATTCCTGGGTCAGGTTCCCACTCCCTTCCCTATAGAAACATTGATTATGGAGCAGGATTAGGACTTTGGACTGTAAACAACGCTGCCCGGTCCCTTAGGTACTATGGCAAGCTTCTCCCCAGCCTTCTGTCACCAAAGGTGGTGTGTATTACTGAAATTGTCGGCCACATTTGACCTCCCTAATCCCTGCTTCAGGGTGTTTCTTGCTCTAGGGCAGGGACTGCAAAATGTGGCCCACAGGCAGCTGCCCATTTTTGTGAATAAAGTTTTATTGGAACACGGCCACACTCATTTGCATATCTTCTCTGGCTCTGTGGTACTGCTGTGGCAGTGGCGGGGCTAACTGCAAAAGCCTAAAATATTTTCTCCACGGCCCTTTAAGAAAGAGTTCACCAACTCTTACTCCAGGGCAGACAACCGGCAAATATTCCTTTTTGAAATGGGCAGGGATGAAAGGTTTTAGTATGTGAGCGATGCGTGATACTAGTCATTGAAGGAGGTGACCAAGAACTGGATAGAGACCAGTTCTGAGCTTCGACGAATAAATGGGGGTAACGTTAAAGTTTGAACAGGAATTGACGTTTTTTGTCCTTGATTGCTTTCCTCATTACTTCCTTAATAACGTGGGTTTGTTTGAACTCTGACAAGTTGATTGCTTTGATTTACTGCTGCTTCTTTTTAACCAGTCTGAAAGTTGAGCCACTGGCTTTTCTAGGCTAGAGTTTTATTATGGATATTGGACATTTTCTGATAAGGCAGGGCCATGGTTTCAGTGCTATTTCTCACTGTGGTCTAGAATATGAAAGCTGTGTTTATACTCTCTGCTACAAACATCAGAAAGTGAAGAGCATGCTGGCCGAAGTGTGTGTGTGTGTGTGTGTGTGTGTGTGTGTGTGTGTGTGTGTGTGGCGGGGGTGGGGGGGTAGGGGGGTACAGATACTAAACCATGTGTTTAGGTACTGATCCTTGAGTTTAATCTCTCAGGGGAGTTCTTTACATTCTTCTTCATTTCCAAGAGCTAAGATAAGAACAGAAAGTTAGGTAATCGAAAAAAGAGATAGTAAAATACTTTTTGAAAAAAGAGATAGTGAAATACTTTTTCTCTTCTACAGAGGGAACGGCCACCGCCTCCAGCAAAGCCACCACCTGATGAAGAGGAGGAAGACCGCATAGATAAGAAGTATTTTCCCTTGACAGCTTCTGAGGTAGAGGGTTGAGGGTTTATTGCCATCACTAAAATACGATTTTTTGCAAGTACCTTGATGTGTGCTTAAAGAAGACTTTTCTTTCTCATTTGCTTATCGCCTTTTTGGATTAGTAAATTTTGTGCATATCAGTAATCTGGAAGAAGACCTTTCCAACCCATTCAGAAATAGGAAGGAAAGAATTGTAATGGAGCTGTCCAGCGGATAGGCCAATTATTGATCCACATTACACATTGAAAGTAAACCGTCCACATTCCTCCTGGCTCTAGTAGCTAAACAGTTTGACTTCTTGCTTGTTTTGTTCCTGTGTCCTCTTTTGATACAAAATGTGGAGTATGGCCTTAATCGCTGTTCTGTAGACGATATCCTATTAGCGAACTTTGGTGGTTCTGCCCCAAGTGTCTTATTTCTGTTTTCACATTTTTCTTCTCCATTTCACATGAAGAATCCACCAGGACAAACATGGAAAATGTCATGAAGACTCATTTTAGAAGAGAAATAGGAGTCGTGGGGGTGGGAGAAAGCAAAGAAGGTTATTTGAGAAGACTAATCCACCTTTTTTTGTTTGTTTGTTTTGTTTTTAAGATTTTATTTATTTATTTGACAGAGAGAGATCACAAGTAGGCAGAGAAGCAGGCAGAGAGAGGAGGAAGCAGCCCCCCCCTGCTGAGCAGAAAGCCCGATGTGGGGGTCGATCCCAGGATCCTGAGATCATGACCTGAGCCGAAGCCAGAGGCTTTAACCCACTGAGCCACCCAGGCGCCCCACTAATCCACCTTTTTAAAGAAGAATTATTATCATGGGGCAAATAGTTCAATCTTTCTTCTTGGTTGTATGAAGAAATCATATTTTCTGTGAGCTTTCATTTTCAGAATGCTCCTTTAATCCTTACCACTGTGCAGAGAATATGTTTATTCAGTATTTATTCAAAATATTATATAAATTTCATTATTTTGTTGCTCATTCAGTGGTCTGTTGTTCTTTAATTTAAAAATCAGCTGAGGGGCGCCTGGGTGGCTCAGTGGGTTAAAGCCTCTGCTTTCATCTCAGGTCATGATCTCAGGGTCCTGGGATCGAGCCCCACATCGGGCTCTCTGCTCAGTAGGGAGCCTGCTTCCCTCTCTCTCTCTCTCTCTGCCTGCCTCTCTGCCTACTTGTGATCTCTGTCAAAGAAATAAATAAAATCTTTAAAAAAAAAAAGCTGATATAAACTAGTCATCTAAGTCTCATTACTTTATCCCTAGAAGGTCATATATTGCCACAGACCATCCAGTGAGACAGGTTCTTTGACTTAGTAGAAACTCATGGAACCAGAAGGAAGGCTTTTATTTAACAAAATGGATATTAAATACAAGGATATCCTTTTAAGAACGTAAAAGTCAGTGTTGGAAATAGGGGAAGATGTTTATGCTGGGTGCAAATTCTGTCCCTATTTCTTTGTATGCCTTCATTACAAAATGCTTATTATCAGGTTTCAACTAAAGGGTCTCTAGAATTATAGCCTCTAAGGTGATAATACATTACTAGCAGTTAGAAGTGCATGTAGCAGATCCCTGCATATTTTTAATATGGAGATTTGCTTCCTTAACTCCATTTTTATAAGGAGAAACCTTTACTTATGTTACTTACGGAGCACGTTCAACTGGGGCTAAGTCTCTACAAATGCCTTATGCCACGTCTTTAACAAGGACTTAGACTAAAATTCCTAATGCCCAAGGATAAATGCAAGGCTCTTAAAGAAATATTAGATAATGAAGACTTTCTATTCTCCTCAGGCTTTTCAGAGAATGTGATTTGTTGATAATAGTGTCAACAGAGGGGCACCCAGGTAGCTCAGTCAGTTAAGTGTCTTTCTGCAGCTCAGGTCATGATCACTGGTCCTGGGATCTGGACACATTGCTGGGCTTCCTTTTCAGTGGGGAGTCTGCTCCCTCTGCCCTGCCCCCCCACCTCATACATGCATACACGTGCTCTCTCTCTCTCAAATAAATAAAATCTTTAAAAAAAAACAATAGTGGGACGTCTGGGTGGCTCAGTTGGTTAAGCAGCTGCCTTCGGCTCGGGTCATGATCCCAGTGTCCTGGGATCGAGTCCCACGTCGGGCTCCTTGCTCAGCAGGGAGCCTGCTTCTCCCTCTGCCTCTGCCTGCCATTCTTGCTCTGTCTGCCTGTGCTTGCTCTCTCTCCCTCTCTCTCTCTCTGACAAATAAATAAAATCTTAAAAAAAAACAAAAAACAAAAAACAAACAATAGTATCAAGAAATAAGGGGAGAAATTTCCATATTACTCTCCTGGATGTGGAGACTCTGAGATGCTTCTTCTAGGACTTGCTTGTGAATAGTCTGAAATTCTGGGTCAGTTGGGCCACTGCAGTCAGGAGTTGAAAGACCATGAGAACCCCAGCTTTGCTTACTTAGTGATTATAAGTAAATAAGTACAGAGGAGATGTGGTCTATGTCATTATCCTTTTAATGATCAAAGCAGATTTTCTTTGCTGTAGTTTAAATGACTAGGTCTTCTCCAGCAGTGAACTTTTATTTCTTTTTCTTCAGACTCTAGTCTTCCCTGTTTTGATTTCTTACTTAGTAGGCTTTACTACCCTAACCCTCATATCCTAGGAAGCACTGGCTCATCACAGTTGACTTTTATGTTTGGCAGGCCATCTGCTTCAATGTTTGTGTCCCATTCCCTAGGCTTGTCATTGTCAGGTGACCCATGGAAGCCTTTAAGGGAAGCTGAGTATAGCTGTCTCCAGGGGAGCTTATCAGATTAATGACCAGGTCATGAAACGGGCTTAAAGAAATTAAACACATACACATGTGTGTGCACACGAGCTACTGAGACGTTTTTGCCCTGCCAAATGGGCTGTCAGCTGCATCGGACTGACCACGGCCTTCTCTGTGTTGAGATGTTTTAAACATTCATGAGAAGGCGCAGCTGCCGTGGTATCTCTTCCCAGAAAACTGCCCACACTCCTACTGGTCATTCTGTTGGTCCAGTTAGGTGGTGACTGGTAGTAGCTTCTCTTTGCAGCAGAAATGTTTCTTTCTACATAACAGAGAATATGGCTTTTTGGCTCCGATTTACTGCAGGCCCTAGAAGAAAGGGGTAGAAAAGATTAAGGAATAATCTGGTAAAGAGCAGAATCCTTTCTGTTGAAAATCAGTTATTGCCATATTTACTGTGACACAGGGCTTCTTGAGTGGGAGTTAGGAAGGCTCAAAGCAAAGCAGTCTCTTGCTTTATTATGAGATTTTAATCCCATAGCTGGCAGGAGCCAGGACTAAGAGGAAAAGATCACCCGAGAAGTTGTCTGGATATGAGCAGGGGACTCTCACTAGAGAGTCTAAAGGAGGGAAGGAGTTCCAAATTGGATGCAAAGTCTTATATCCCGGGGCGGGTGGCGGGGTGGGGAATGAGGACATTTGGGTCCAGAATCAGGGGAAGTGAATTTCATGGCCCTGGCTCTGCTGGTTGCTCTCTGTGTAACCTTGGGCAAGTCCCCAGACCTGTCTGGGAACTCAGTTTGGGCATCTGCGAAATGAAAGAGCTGGAGCCAGGTGTTCTCTGGCTGTGATTGGAACGGTTCGGGTCCCTTCCAGCTCTAGCATTTGCTGGTGTTGTGCTTCTCGTTGTCGTGCCCGAGAGCCAAGCACAGAGTGACCGAAGGTCCAGTGGGCCCCATTTTCCAGATGGAAGTCATCAGCTGTCCTCTTTGAGAAGAAAGGGTATTATAGGCCGGGTATCCAGACTGTCAGATACCTTTCAGAAGCATGCCTGGGGCTATACAAGGGTCCTTGCTGTGTGCAGAACACTCACGGAATCGGATTTCCAGGGCTCTGGCTAAGTAATAGGTATGGGTGTGTAAACCTGCAGAACACAAATTCCTGTCTATAAAGCCTGTGGTATTAAGTTGACACTGTATGAACTGCTTAATGGCCCCTCTTTGTTCCCTTAATTGTCTTCCTATGAAGAGGCGAAAGGAATAAGTAATACAGGCAAATGGCTCGTTGTCATGAAATAGCTTTTAGCTTCCAGGTGGCTTTCAGTAAAGTGGAGGTTCCTGCTGTGCTTAGCAGAATTTCGGAAAGAGACCATCATTCTGCCTTTGGAGTGGCAGCCTTGTTACCAAACAGGAGCCATGGCCTCTCCTTTATTCGGGAGCTGCCAGCCAGAATCCTTGTTGTCTCGTTAGGCCATAGCATAGTGAGCTAAGTCTCCAAGAAGCAAAACCCTGATGAATCACAAACCTGATTTATCTCTAGTGAGCTGTGGGACATGTCTGAAGGAGGAGGTTTCTGCTTATACCAAAGAATCACATTTGTAAGGGTACCATTATTTGTTGGGAGGACTTGGGAATTCCTCTGAACCCCTCTGTTCATGATGTATCACTTCTCCAAGCCAAACTGCTCAGGAAGAGGTTTTGTGCTTTGGCTCACTCTCCTAATAGCTGGTACATGATTATTCTTAATTTGTCTATGAAACGCATTGGATTCTTAGGACAGATGAGCCAGAACGATCCTCTAAATTGAGGATCTCCATTCTCTCTCTCGGTGTGACTGTGGCACTAATTTAAGGTGTTTCTGGCCTGGTTTGAGGAGGCAGCTTGGCCACCTTCGTACCATGATTAGCTGTGGCCACAAGGCCCTTAGCTGCCTAGACCTCGTTGGTGGGTATAGAAGCCCGCTCTGGTCCAGTTATTCCATCAAAGATGGCTGCCTGGATCAGGGATTTCTCCATAGACAGAGCTGCTTTGTTTTCTCCAGTGAAATTCATACTGCCTCACCGTTTGACTCCTTTCAGAACAGAGATTGGTGGAATTAATTTAAACTCATAGTATCATAAATGTAGCAGGAAGCTGGCTTTTGAGAGAAACTTCCCTATAACCCCCAGGACCTGAAAAGAAAGGCTTACCAAATAAAGAAGGGTGCATAGAGCCCTTTGTTTCTGGTAAATGGCAGTCATTCGGGGTCAATCAGAAGTCATCTGATCCCCTCTTGAGAAGGTGGGAAGTATTCCAGCCTTGGGATAGTGTGTGTACATATTGGGGAAGAATTGCAGAGAAGGAAGACCTTTGTGAGGCACCCTAGCTAAAAACCACTCAGAAGCTACTATCCACTGGAAAGAGACCATGCAGAACACTGTGATGTTGGGAGAGGCAAGGGAAGGAAGGATCTGGGAGCTTATTGATGGCTTTTTGAAAGATAAAATGAGGTAAGAAAAGGCGAGTGTTTTACTCAAAAGCCACTGAGATCTGAGGTACAGGTGTGTATCCAGAAAGGCAGCTGTGGTACCACGTGATGCTTGAGCTCTTTACCTCCTCTGCCGACCCCCCTTCTCTCTGGCAAGAAAAGAGCCAATAATCTTGAATTTGTGCTTCATAACCTGTCCTGGCATTAGGCACCCACACGAGAAAGTCTGTGGTGTTTCCTTTCCTAGGTCTTGGCCATGAGACCCTGGATTCAGGGAAGCACAGCCCGGGAAGAGGAGGAGCATCCTTACGAGCTGTTGTTAACAGCAGAAACCAAGAAGCTGGGATCCATGGATGGGGATGGAAAACCAAAAGGTACACCCCCACCCCTAGCCCACTCCCCGCAGAAACAATTGCAAAAGGATTTTTAAAGTTCGTGATCCTGGGCGGGAAGTAGAGGGTGATGTTCCTTGGGGTGGGGAAGTTGGGTGTCACAGCAGTTGGGAGTGGTGGGAGTGTTGTGACCTTTCGTTCGCAATGCCCTGCATTAGCGTTGGCCTGCCCCCCCTGGCACACCCCCCCCCCGCCTTCAGCACGTGAAGCAGGGAGGTGGTCAGGTCAGACCAGGCCATGGCTGTGGAAGGGGAGACAGCCTGTGATGTGACCGAGATAGATTTGGGGTCTCAAGTCAGAAACCCTCAAGTTCATGTGGTAGAAAAACAAGCCCAACAAGTCAGTCCCTTGGGGTTCAGGCTGACGGCACAGGCTCTGCTTTGAGTCCTGACCTCAGAGTGAGACACTCCTGGGGAGGGGCCCGTGATTGGCTGCCACCCCGTAACTAGAGTGCTCTGTCGCCTTGGCCTACTTTCATTGCCTCTGCGAAATTCCGTTTCCTCTGTGAGGGAGCGAGTGCTGCAGGACGGAGAGCCAGGCCGACGACGGTGGACGTGGGACAGACTCTGTGCTAAGAACAGCAACAAGGGGCAGTGCCATTCCCACTGCACGCGGAAGGGGACTCTCCCCGCTCTTTATAGCTTTCGGGTACTAGATCCTTCATGGGGTATGATTAGCGCCTCCTTTCAATCCTGACTGTCACGGTTCCGGTAAGAAGGGGGGGGTGCGATGGCTTCTTTCGAACCTCCCTTCGCTGGGCCTGTTGGAGGGTGGGGGGGTGGAGAAGAGAACATGTACGTATGTGTCTGACATTGGAGAACTGATTTTTAACTGATGTGTTTAAAAGGTTGCTCTTCCAGCACGCAGAAACTTTGTGGTCATTTTTATAGTAGTTGTTTTGTTTTGTTTTGTTTTGTTTTATGGTTTCCATTTGGAGCTTTCTGGGGGAAAAAAAAAGTTACAATTTAAATGTGGCAAAATTTACCCTTTTTGTGTTCAGTTCTGGGAGTTCTGACAAATAACGGTTATATAACTGCCAGTCAGTACGGAATGATTTTATCACACCAAAAACTCTCTTATGTCCTTCTGTAGTCAGTTCCACACCCTTCCCTTACCTCTGGCAACCACTGCTTTTATGTCAGTCCCAATACTTTTGCCTTTTCCAGAATGTTCTATCAGTGGGAATCATACCATATGTACCCTTTGAGTCGGGCGTCTCACACTTAGCATAATTCACTGAAGGTTGCTCCATGTTGTTGTGTGTATTGGGGATTTGTTACTTTGCATTTCCAAGTAGTATTCCATTGTTGGGGTGTACCACAGGTACCCATTCTCTAGTCAAGGGGTACTTGGGTCACTTATAGTTCTTGGCAGTTACAAATAAAACTAAACATTTGTAGGTTTTTGTGTAAACATCGGTTTCATTTCTCTTGAGAAAATGCTAGGAATGGGATTGCTGGGTCCTAGGTAAGAAACTGCCACACCATTTTCTAGAGTGGTTATGCCATTCTGCTTTTCCATCAGAGTCACAGTTGCTGTGTATCCTCCCCTGGATATTGTCGGGTTTTTAAAATTGTAGTCCTTCTATTAGGTGTATAGTGATATTTCATTGTGGATTTAATTTGTATTCCCATAATGATTCATGATGTGAACATCTGTTGGTATGATTATTTGCCATCCGTATAGCTAATGAAGTGTCTGTTCAACTCTTCTCCTCATTTAAAAAAATTGGGTTGTTTATGGTCTTATTGAGTTAGTTATGAGAGTTCTTTGTATGTTTTGGACACTCTTTATCAGATATGTAATTTTCTCCTAGGCTGTAATTTGTCTCTTTATTCCCTTATGCCTTGTGGAGAGCAGAGGTTCTTACTTTTGATGACAGTGTATCTTTTCTTTTCTTTTATGGATAAGTTCACAAGTATTTGTTCCTATATTTTCTTCTAGAAATTTTGTAGGTTTAGGTATCCATTTAGGTGTATGACCCATTTTGAGGTAATTTTTGAATATGGTGTGAGGTGTAGATAGAGATTCACTTTTTTGCATGTGGATATCCAGTTGTTTCAGCACGATTTGTCAAGGACCATCCTTTTCTTGCCTATGTCACTTTGTTATTCTTTTTCAGAATTGTTTTAGATATTCTTTCCATATAAAAATTTAGAATGAGTCAGTTGATTTCTACAAAAAGTCCTGCTGGATTTTTATTGGAATTGTGTTGAATCTATATAGCAATTTGGGGAGCTTTCTTAACTGTATTGAGTCTTCTAATCATGTTGCTAGGTTTTTAATTCAAATATTTAGAGAGTGGAGAGTAGAGAATGAGTTCTCTAGTTGTTTAATAATAAATCATACTGAAATTAACCCTTAAAGAGCAAGTATTTAATGCTCTTTTTGAAAGTGGTTCTTAGGAAAGAATTTTTAGCATCAAGGAGGAAGGAGATTATAATTCTCTCTCTCTTTCAAAGGCTTGATCTGGACCCACTCATTATGGGATAACTGGCTTCCTTTGGAAGGAAGAAAAAGTGAAAGTCAAACTTCATAAATGGGTCTGGTCTCCTTGGCTGCCAAATGCAGGAATTTTCTTTTTCTTTTTTTTTTTTTTAAAGATTTTTATTTATTTATTTGACAGACCAATCACAAGTAGGCAGAGAGGTAGGCAGAGAGAGTGGGGGAAGCAGGCTCCCTGCTGAACAGAGAGCCCAATGCGGGGCTTGATCCCAGGACCCTGAGATCATGACCTGAGCTGAAGGCAGAGGCTTAACCCACTGAGCCACCCAGGCACCCCCAGATGCAGGAATTTTCTATCCTCAAGTCAAGAGATCTCCAGGTTAAGGAGTAAACTGCCCCAGATTACTTAAGGCCTTGTATCTCCTACTTTGCTTTGGTTTCTTCTAGCTCGGCAATACTGGGCTAACTGTTACGAGTAGGTGGTACGGGAAGCAGATCTGAGTGGACCACAGCATGTGGGAAGTGCGTGCCTCCAGGCAAGCTGCTTGGATGCTCAGAGAGCTTTCAGACAAAGGAGCTGAGACGTTAAAGATGAAAATGGGCTCTGTCCGTTTCTCGTGAGCCTGGAAGGAATGCCGGCTAGAGTTGGTAAATGTGAGACAAGTCAGCAGATGATATTATGGATTAGTACACAGTCAGTCTTTTCTGCTTTTTCACTAATGTCATTATCCAAGGCAGCTTTTATGGATTAATTCATCAGTTCTGAAAAGGCGGTGTTAATGAGACTACCACAGCTTTTGGCTCTCCTTACTGTAATTTGCAAACCTACTGCAGGAGGGGTGGGATGGGAGATTATTTAGATTACATTTTAAAGTAGATATGTATTAGCTCCCAGGAAAAAAATTTAAACAATACAGAAGTGAATACAAGTAAAATGGTCAAATCTTCTCACCTCTCCGCTACTCACAGTTGCTGGAAGTGACATAGTTCTAAGTGTAGTATCCGCTTCAGGTTGTTTGCGGTCTTTATTTTTTAAAAAGTGACTATGGGATACCATTTTGTTTGTTTTTAACAATCTAAAATGGGATCATAGTTCACAAATGGTTTTGCACACTTGTTTTTTTAACTTATCTTGTCTATAGATCATGGGTACAATTTTGTTTTACGTTCTTAAAGATCTACCTTACTGTTTTTGAATGGTTGTTAACTATCCCATGACTCATTTTTCCACTGTCTAGTGGATGGATATTTACATTGCCTCCAGTATTTCTCTATTATAAATGAAGCTGTTGTGGACATGCTCTACACATTTTCTTACATGCTTACAAGAGTATTTCTTAAAAGACTTTGATAGAAAGTAGAATAAACCAGTCCGAGTGTAGGTACATGTCTAGATTTAACTGGTAAAGCTGAAGTGCCCCTCCCTTGATGGTTAATGAGCACACGCTTTCCCTTTCCTTCACCAACGTGCGATAATAGCACTCTTTAATGTTTTTCACCATGATAAGCCAAAGAAGTGTCTTTTGTAATTAGCCTTTGCCTGATCTAGTGAAACTGAGCATCTTGGTCATTAATGTTAGATGGTCCACGAGTGCCTTTTTCCCTCCTAATTTTCTACTTAGAAGTTAATTAATGGTAGTGGAAACACTTCATATAAATACTGATAATATTTGACCAAAGTGATACCCAGGGGGAAGTTTATATCTTTAAATTTATTTGTTACAAAACAAAGACTGGGGCACCTGAGTGGCTCAGTCAATTAAGTGTCCAACTCTTGATCTCCGCTCAGGTCTTGATCTCAGGTTTGGGAGATCAAGCCCCGTGTTGGGCCCCATGCCCAACATAAATAAATAAATAAATAGACTAAAACTTAACCAAGAGAAAGTAGCAGAGAGGAATTAATAAAGATAAAAGCAGATAGTATATTTCACATACTTTATAGTATGCATGTTATACCTCAGTAAAGAAAAAATATAAAAGCAGAAATAATGAAGTAAAAAAAAATAGATTTGACCATTACAATGAAAACTTGCTTGTTTTTTAAAGATCTCTGATAATTCTGATCAAGAAAAGAGGAAAAAACATAACACATAGTAATAACATAAAGCACACATATAAAGCACAAATTTGAAGATTTGAAAAACTAATAATAGTTTATAGAAATAAATTTGGGGGGTTAGAGTTGCTGCCATCCCCCAGGATGAATTGTCCTGGAGACTTATTGGTCCATCACAATGTATGATAGCAGTGGGGTTTCCGGTGGCATTTAGTGCCTGGTGACTAAGCATCTGGCACTATGTATGATAATTCTGCAGTTGTTAGATTGCCATTTATGTCAGTAGATATAACAAAAACTGACAGAAGTTGAAAGCAGTCCACGAAGTAGAAAACTCATCTCTCCGGAAAGGTCCTAGGCATGGATGGTTTTATGATAGTTTTATCTAGCTAGGTATTCCTCCGTTATTTAAATGATTCCCACCATAGAAGTCCTCAGAAATCATTACTCAGGGCTAGCATAACTAGCAATGAGAGCAGTG